TTGTTTAAAACAATTACCTTGTTTGTGTTTGTTCGTTAAAATGTTAAACAAACATAAATTAAGGAACACAAATGAGCATATATAAACATAAACCAAAAATATAAACAACATAAGCATGAAAACAAGTAACCATACATATATAAAATAATTATATGTAAATCCTATAATATAAAGCCTTCCAAATCCAAAAATAACTCAAAAATAAAATCTAAATATCATCTTCATCCAAATTTTTATAGAAAATAAAACTTGAAAATTAAGTTTCACAATTTAGCCTCATCACATCCATATATCTTGTCTAAATTTTAAGTTCGTAGAATATTTAATTGTTGTCATACAAACTCACGGTCTATTATTAGACCATTTATTAACACCAACACCATATTAACAATTAAAAGAATGATGAATAACAACTTATTGCATTATTTTACCTTAAAGATAATCATGATTTGTCATCATTTAAAACATCATGGAAGATCAACATATATAATATCATAAATTAACCAACATAAAGGAATACTAAAATATAAACAAACTAACAAGCATAAACAAACATAAATGAATGTTCACAAACGTAAATAAACGACAAGACTATTATTTATGTTTATTTGTTTAACTAACCAAAAAAAAAATCTTATTCATATTCTTTTATTTAATAAATAAACGGAATAAACATAACGTCTCAAACATTTTATATGTTTACAGGATATCTATCACAAACAAAAATCACGTAATTTACTCTCAAAGTAAAGCAACGCCACCAAGAAAACAATGGTAACTTGGTCCTTTTGGATTGAAATCAATTTCCATAAGGGGACCATTATAATTAATACAAGACATTCAACATGGATATCTTTATACTTCTACCAATGAGAAAATTGAATATGATTGATACATCTAAACATAAAAATCTGTATAGTTTCATTAGCAAAGAATCAAAAACAATGACAACGTTGATATAAAAAAGACAAGATTGTGAATTGTTCTTTTACAACTGGAAATCTTTATTCCATACATTAAATCTTGAAAATATTACAAGCCATACGAACATGTAAATTTATTTTCTTTCGCACATGAAAACATGTGAATTGATATATTTTTTTAAAACCTTATATTTTACTTTTCACCATAAACTATCACTTCTCTAAAAAAAAAAATTTGTAACATTTTTTTGTTAAATCCAGACTCTCAACAGTTCGCCAAAAAAAATCTATGACACTGACTAAAGAATTAGAAACCATGTGTGTATAAAAAGATATTGAAAAAAAAAAAAAAAAAAACAAACAAACAAACAGTGGGTGTGTGTTTGGGTGGTGCAGCCTTCAAGTTACACAACCACCACTCATTTCAAAAGGAACCAAATCAAGAAATCCAAAGTAAAATCCACAATCAACAACCACCACAATGTGGACTTGAAAACAATCACCTCCTCCTTCCACCCCTCCTCCTCCCTACACCACCACTCTCCATGGCCACCGGCTAGATCTTTAAACAAAAATCAGCATATTCTCTCTAAATTTACCCATAATTCCATAAACCATGACTACCTCTTCTTACTGTTTTTCTCCCACTAGAAACCCAATCACACATTCAAACACAAACTTGTTGTTTCTCAATTCAAACCTTTATCTACCAAAACACAGAAACCATGCTCCTTTCACTTACGAAGCCAAGAAAGATTTCATTTCCAACATACCCAAATCCACAATTTCGCTTCTCAACATCAATAACCACCATAAATCCACACACCCTTTTGCATCTTTATCATCTTTTGCTCAAAATCAAGAAAGTGAAGGTGAAGGCGAAAATCAAGAAACTGTTAAAGATGAAGGTGAGGAGTTGCCTGGTATGGCTCAAGCTTTTCACATATCTTCCAACACAGCTTCTGCTATTTCGGTTTGCATAGCTGTTGCAGCTTTGTCTTTACCTTTGATCATGAAATCTTTAGCTCAAGGAATGGGGTTAAAGATTAAGTTGTTGTCATACGCAACACTTCTGTTTGGGTTTTATATGGCTTGGAATATTGGTGCGAATGATGTGGCGAATGCCATGGGGACATCGGTGGGGTCCGGCGCTTTGACTCTCCGGCAGGCGGTGCTGACCGCCGCCGTGTTGGAGTTTTCCGGCGCGTTGTTGATGGGTCGGCATGTGACGAGTACAATGCAGAAAGGGATTCTTGTTGCTAATGTTTTTCAAGGGAAGGATGCTTTGCTTTTTGCAGGGTTATTATCGTCTTTAGCCGCTGCGGGTACTTGGTTACAAGTAAAGATTTCGCGCGCCCTTTAATTTCCTCTTTTACTATTCATACATTCATTACATTCCCTTTCCATGCATGCTTGTTTGCATTGACCATGTTGACCTTTGGGTTTCAGGTTGCATCATTTTATGGATTGCCTGTTTCGACTACACACTGTATTGTGGGGTCCATGGTTGGGTTTGGGCTCGTGTATGGAGGACCTGATGCGGTTTTCTGGAGCTCATTAGCAAGGGTGACGTCATCTTGGGTTATATCGCCTCTTATGGGTGCAGCAGTTTCGTTCCTCGTGTACAAATGCATCCGTAGGGTACGTATGATTAAACATCATGGATGAGTATGAATGTGTTTTGGAATTGAAGTAATTATTTAAGAATCAAACAATCAACCGATCAAAACGTACTTTCATCATTTTTGATCCTGGACTATTATTATTCTTATTATGTAGCGAATCAATTAAAAAAACAACAGCTCAATGGTAAAAATACGTTGTGTTTTTTACATCGTGTTACCAGGAAAATTGGTTTTTTTAACGATATAAAATAGAGTAGGAATGATTTTTCGTATTTTTATTTAGAAAACTAGGAATAAGTAAATAGATTTACATTAATCTCAATAGTCATTGCTCTTAATCTCTTATATAGGTTGAAAATCATACCACAAGACTTGTAATTTGCTACTTCAAGGAGCAATAATCAGTTGAAATGCACATCTAAACAACTATAGAGATGTCAGGATGCACACTTGTATGCCTAAATCTTGGACATCTGGTTAGAAGTTATCGGGGAGATTGGATGTGTTTTTACAACGTGATTGTTGCAACTTGAAGAATCATAACCAAAGTTAGATAAAAAAAGAATATTAAAGCTAGAGATAAGTAGGCAATTTTACATTTATCTCAACAACCTGTTTTCTTAAAGCAACTTCTAGGTGTTTCTCCAAATCTGATTGTTTTGACCATACACGATAAGAAAAAATACTAATCATAATCACCTATAGCCAATGCGCAAAATCAAATATTACAACTTTAAGTAACAATAATCAATTTAAAACTACATCCAAACAACCCATATATATGATGTCCCAAGTGAAGGCTTTTAGGTGACTTTACAAGCATTATCCTGATGTATACTTGAATCTTGAACCTTTTCTTATACATGAATCAAAAATCCTACATCTTGGGTAATAAAGATGGTTTGTTACATGGAACAAGACACGACTAGATAGGATTATATGCAGAGTGAACTCACGTCTTTTGCACAGACAAGAGACAAGAGACTACGTCAAACACAGTACAACATGTTTTATTCTGTCTTGTCCTATGTAATAAAAGGCGTCTAAAATCCAAACTTTTTCACATGTTTACACGCATTATTGCACATTTCTAACTCATTATGTTATATTTAGTTTGTTTACAGTGCTCCAAACCCCGGACAAGCAGCGGCTGCAGCTGCACCGATTGCTGTTTTCGTGGGTGTCACAGCAATAACTTTTGCAGCTTTTCCTCTAAGCAACACGCTCCCAATAGCATTCACTCAAGCTTTAGCATGTGGGACACTTGGCGCATTCCTATTCAACAACATCATCCGAAAACAACTCGGTCACCTCCTCGACAAGTCAAACTCAAAGTCAAACTCGACACCACAAGAGCCACACGAAGAGTCAACCACAAAATCAATCGGTTTCCTATCGGATATCGCGGGGCCCACAGGCACCCAATTGGAAATAGTTTACGGGGTGTTTGGGTACATGCAAATTCTATCGGCTTGCTTCATGTCATTCGCTCATGGTGGAAATGACGTTTCTAACGCGATAGGCCCTTTAGCTGCAGCTCTTTCTATATTACAAGGGGGTGCGACCGGGGGCGAAATCGTAATTCCAATGGATGTTCTTGCATGGGGTGGATTTGGGATTGTTGCGGGGCTTATGATGTGGGGGTATAGAGTGATAGCTACGATTGGTAAAAAGATCACCGAGTTGACTCCTACACGAGGTTTTGCAGCTGAATTTGCTGCTGCTTCGGTTGTACTCTTTGCATCAAAACTTGGACTTCCTATCTCGGCTACTCATACTCTTGTGGGTGCAGTTATGGGAGTCGGGTTTGCAAGAGGGCTTAATAGCGTAAGGGCGGAAACTGTGAGGGAAATTGTTACTTCATGGGTCGTTACTATTCCAGTTGGCGCTGTGTTTGCTGTGGTTTACACGTGGCTCTTTACCAAGTTCTTGCCGAATGTTTTTTGAGTGTACATCCAAAAAATAATAATTCGAATTTGAGGCTTTATTAAACACTAATTAATTACTCGACTTTTTTCTTTTATATGATATATAATCAATGATTGATTGCCTCATGTTGGAAACCATCGTTTCTATAGTTTGGCATCTATTTATCCTTTTTCTTTGGAACTTACTCGATCCTTATTTATTTTTTTCTTATATTTGCTATTAATGCTTCTTTACAATGCAATATAAACTAACTCATGCCATTGATAGAATAATGTGAAGGGGTTTATAGCCCTTTTATTGTTTAACTTCCACTATGATTTGATCCAAATGTTAACCTTTATCGGTTGTTCCAAATCTTAACCATTAAATCAAGCATAATAACACATTCCAAAACATAAAACTTCATACAACTAGAAAACGGGTCACAAGGACATTAACTACAACAACATCATTGGTGATTTAGAATCATAAAAGCAAAGATGAAAAAGTTTGACAAAAACAGATAAACTACATACCGATTTCATCAAGGAGAGAGTTCTTGAATGGAAGTCAAACTCGGCTCCCAATCAGATCCTCCCCTCCATGACTTTGACTTCACAACTGGTGATTTGTTTGACCGAATGTGTTTCTTGACCAAGAATCTTGACCACTTCTCCTTGGATACATAGTAATCCTTAGCTGAACACACAGAATCATCAGACTCGTCTGGAGGAACGGTTTGAGTTTGACCCTTTTTCCCTGTTGACTTTTTCTTCTTGGAGGAGTGTTTCTTTTTCAACTTCTTTAATGTTGTCACAGGGACTAAATAGTACTTTCGCCCAGGCAAAAGCAACTCACTTGATGACAAAACAGCTTCATGAGGATTCTTGAAAATTTCAGGCCAAGCAACAATCATACCTGGATATCTTTTCATTATTTGAGAAACAGAAACCGGTTTTTCATAAAGATCTTCTTTTCCACCTGCATGAACAACTCTTACACAAAATTCCCTTGATTTTTGGCTACTCCCAATTGAAAAGGAACCATCTTTCACCTGTTTTGGTGGTGTTCTTGAATCTTTTTCCAATCCAAAGAGTAAACCTATACACCCCTTAATCATTTCAAGAAACTAAAATCCCTTTGACACCAATTTTTTCCAACATTATATAAGCCACTAAAAGAATCAATCTTTCCCTTTGGTTTTTTCTTCTTTTTGCTTATTCTATAGCCGGCTCATTTGATAAAACCAATGTAACACTATGTCTCTTTGTGATTTGTGAAAATCCATCCAACTTATCAAACAATGATCTTGTTTAAAGAATATATAATTCAAAAATAACTTATGGATTTGGATCTTTGCCATGTCTGCAAACACATCCTCATGCTGATGTCATACTCCCAAAGACCAGATGACACCTGGCGTTCTAGCTTCTTTTGTCTCCCACTAATCCAATTATTATGAAGCACAAAACAACCCTTTTTCATGCATGTTGATGAAACGTTATTTGAGTCCCAAAAATCTTGGTAGGCCCCATTTGGGAAGAGGTTTCTATCCAAGAAACGAATGGTCAGATTTGTTTCGGGTTCATGACACATGTCATCACCTAAACGGTTGGATCCGTTTAGCCCACATAAAGTATCATAAAAACTTGGTTGCTCTGAAAGATTTGATAAAGATGCATGTTTTACTACTTTCTCTAAAGCAGCAATTGTTGAATTATCTGAGTGTGCGTAATAAAAGCCAGAATTTAGACGTCTAGGCAAATTTATTGGCCCTACATATAAAGTAATCAACAAATTAAGTATAAGTAAAAAGCATAGAAAGCTTGCAAAGATTACAAAAAGAACCCTTAAAAACATTCATATATGTAATCTTTTTGAGGTCGACCAAACTACTTTTTATTTTAAATTGTATGGGTTTTCTCAAAATTTAATCTTTCTGATGACCCATCAAGGTTTAAAAAAAATTTGTGTAATTTTAATTTGAGAAGATGATAATTTATGAACAGATATTGCTTGGAACACAAACCTGTGATTTTGTACTCATCTGATTGAGCCAAGAAAACTGCAGGACCAAAAGTAGTAAGCAGTGGCAAAGGATTCTTAAACCAATAAACATCAACATCACTCATCAGCAAGTTATATCCCAGCTTCAGAATTTCCAAAACTACCCTTGACTTCACTTTAGTTACCCGTTGAAAGCAATTTGTTCCAAAGTGACAGTCATCATAGCTGATGTTATTTGGAGCTAATTTGTCTCTAAAAACAGGCAATCCCTATAGAAGAAGAACAAAAAATCGAGTTACATAACATATATATATATATATATATATATATATATATATATATATATATATATATATATATATATAAAACCTTCAGGTAGTGTTTGGTATGATGGAATCATGGAAGGTATGGAATGGTTCATTCCATAGGAATGGAAAAACACATGGAATGGAATTATGATTTCTTCTTTTTTGTTAATGTTCATTCTTATAGGCCAACCAATAATGATCATGGAATGTAATGACTCATTCCATTACCTTGCTTATTCTACTACCCTTTCCATTCTGTTCCTTTGTCATTCCATTCCATACAACCAGACACACCCTAAAATTGTAAAAAGATCCAAACTTTTTAAGTAAACAAGCATAAAGAAACTCACCTGCAAGATAGAGAAATCGTATATTTCATCATCAAGGGCACAAACCACAAAATTGGAGACATTAAGGAGGTGTAGTCTACATACCCAACTCATTAACATATCTTTATAACTATATCCTGCAACTGCTAACACAATTGTCTTATTTTGGTCAGCACGTGTTGATAGAAGAAGCTCTAAAGAGAAAGGAAGTGATATCGGTTCTAATGACATCAACTGATTCTTTGTTGAGCAACCCGTGTTACCCTTTGGTTTTAATTTGTCGAAACAAGTAGAAAGCTTCGTATGTTTACTTGACCGAAATACCCCTAATGGATAAACTATGTTGTCTATAGTGCTTCCAAAATGATAATGTTTGTCGCATTTGAAAAGTTTGATCAAGTTGGAGTAGTTGTAATGGTCTTCATGGAAGAATAATGATCCATAGAAAGCTCCCAAATGGGAATTTCCAACATTTTCCCAATTTCTTGCTTCCATAGTGGCATTGTTGTAAATATTATTGATAAAGAAGCTTGAGATCGTCCAACTGGCATCAAATACAAACCTAAAGTTGGAAGATAAAGCCTCGTTGATCATCCAAAGGGTGTGGAAACCTTTCCCATATAAAAATGGTGGAAGAACTCCATTATGTAAAGGAAGCTCTCCATTATCCCAAGCAATGATTGTCTTCTTGTCATCACAATGTTCCCATTTCCCATTAGAAAGAAACTCCTGCAACTGATTGAATAATCAAAATCAGATAATCGGTTGTAAAAAAAACATGGTACAAAGATAGTATTTGAAACTATTTATTATAAATTTGCATATCTAAACACCATTTTAAAAGATGTTGACATAATCATAACATTTTATTTCATTCGGTTCAAAGTTTGTTGTTGTTTTCCTACCTTTTCCATTTTAACCATTTTATTGTTGTCCCCTAGCCAATGTTTTCCATCTACATCCAAGTGAAATGGGAAATCCGAGACGTTTCTTGATGAAGCAATGAATAGCCAATCATGATCAAGTTTATGAACATAACTTAATGTTGAAAAGAAGTCTGGTAAAAGAATAGTTTCAGAATCCATGAGGACAGATATATCAGAAGTTGATGCTTGTGCTCTTGCAACCATTGAGTGAAAAAATGGAGTACCTAAAAATCTAAACACATAAATAATAATAAGACATCACATTTTATTTATGTTTCTCTTAAGGCAATGTACTGTATTTTCTTCATTTATTTAAGCCACTGCACTTTACTATTGTCATGTTTTAGGACATAAACAATCACTATAATATACACTTTGTTTGTAGTTTTTGAAAGCACAAAATCTAAAACAAACATGAGCACAAACTACTTTACTTTCTAATGCAATTAATTAACCGAATTGAAAAGGGCTTACGTGAAATCAATGGTGGGTTCTACAGAAACCCTAGAACCATAGCCAAAAGAACCTGCAAAAGAGAAAACAGAAGGGTCTTTGCTAAAGAGAACAACCCTAATGTCTTGTGATAAACCAAGCCATGATCTGATTGCTAAAGTTTGTTTTCTCCCAATTGAGCCACTAAAAGACCTAACAGCTGTAAATATTGTAACAGTGGGCCTCGTTGAACTGGTGAGGTTATTGATGTGCTCTTTCATGGAAGAAGAAGAAGAAGAAGAAGAAGAAGAAGAAGGTAAAATTTGAGTAGTGGCATAGAAGGAAATCGAAATCAAGATAAACCCACATAGCCAAACCAAAATCAATCCAAGTTTTAGTGTTTGTAAATGGAAATTCACCATTTTTTAGACCAAAATAAGATGAATTAAAATCAAATTCTTGATCGTTAATGAAAAGCACTTCTTAGGTTGACGTCGACTACTTCCAGCTTGGGTAAGGGTGATTTCTTAAACCTACCCTTGTTTAAAAGTTGTTCACCTGAGCTACACGAAAAAGGGAATGGGGGAAGCCTTACAGACGGCTGCTTGTGAGTTGTGAGGGAAACCCTATGCACTCTAATTGCGATTTCCCCTCTTGTTTGACTTCTTGCCCCATAAAAAATAGGGTAATATGATCTCAGAAGGCACGATTTTGATTCTGCCTCCAACTCCCCTAACAGGCGCGTGGATTTCAAAACCAACAAACCATCTAAAATTTGAAATGGCTTTGATCAAAAACCAAGAATCGAAGAAAAAACTATTTAAAGGCTTATTACGATAAACAATAAAAAGAATTGAATTGGGGTTTTTCTTAATCGAACTTCTTGTTGTATACTTGTATAAAAGAGGAGAATAGACCTTCATTTTTCACGGGGAAGAAGGGTTTAATGTGTGAACAGGAGAAAAAGAGAAGCTTTAACGGAAATGTGAAGCTTCTTTGGTGGGAAATCCACCACCAGAGCCGCCGGAAAAGGCGTTGGTGGAGGAGCAACCGAGCAAGAAACATGTGAGACTTGACGTTGAGTGGGCGTCACCCCACCCACTAACACGCAGTCGCCGGGTCAAACCTTCTTTGACCATTTTCTGTATAATATTTCTAGCTCCATCCTTGAAGTTTATCATAAAGAAAGTTGACACCCCGTACTTTTAAAAATGTCACATAAGGAATATTCAATAATCAAACCTTCAGGCCTAAAAGGGAGTTGTATAGGTCCATGTTGCTCTAGTATACGATTACGCCTTTTGTATAATGTTTGTTCTTACTTTTTCCAATATGTTTTCCGATGTTTCTCCTATTATGTTTGAGCTTTGTTGTTTGTATTTTCTGTCTTATGTTTGTATTTGCTCCTTGTGTTTGTATTTGCTCCCTGTATACGTTTTATTGCATGTATTTACTTACTCCCACTCCCTTCTGCTTTATTACCAATATATGCTTATTTCCCTTGCCCTTTATTCTCTATTTCATGCTCATGTTTCCATACACCAAGGCCATTTGTGGATGCAATCTCTTTACCTCTGGATGGAATACATCTAACTTTACCCTTAACTCATTCTTATTGGATTTTGGGTTTTGTTGCTAAGCACTTTAGATATATTTTTCAATCGAGTGCCTACAACGATCTTTAAAAGTTGAAACTAATACCATTTGCCATAACAACAATGATTTTGAACTCGAATATTCTCAAATTGAAAGTTGTATTCAAAGTTTCACTTATGGCGACTTATCAAACCTTATCAACCATGTTGCTAAGTGTTTATTTCACAACAAAACCTAAACATTCACTATAATGAGTTTACTAATAAGAAACTACATTGAAGTTTGAAATATTATATTCAACCCCCAACACATAAAGCTAACAAATGCAATGAAGGATTACAACTACACTAATACATTTCCCAATATGCAAAATCCAGGTGAAACCACAATTCACAAACTTGTTCCAAGATCAAGTACAAGAAATAAGGAGTTTATAAAACCTAGCTTCATGATTAGGACATCAAAAAAAATAACTGCATATTACAACATATGTTCATAGTCCCTTTTTACACTATCCTCTTCGTGACCTGGATCTTGAGCGCTTCCTTTCCCTGCATAAAAATATAAACCAGTTCATAAACCAATAGGGGGCTGGAAAGTCAAAATGTTTGAGGTTAAAAGTCAAGATGTTTGACCATTAGAGTCAAAATGTAATGTATGTTTGACTTTGACAATTGACAATTGACATACCTGGTGGTTTCAAGAGAAGAATAGTTATTATGCCTGTGCTGAGAACGCTTGCTAGGTGGAGACCTTGACACTTGTCTAGAAATCAAACATTTCATGCTAAGCCAATGAATGAGAGCCACATATATAATAAAATAAAAAAATAAAAAAAGACATTGGGATTTGGGAGGTCCATGTTAATTTCCTTTTATACCCTTTTCACAAAATGTAAATATGCAAAAACTTATCAACACTTTTGCATATTTTGTCACCTAATTACTATTATACCCTCCAAATAAGTGTTGAAATCCCTCATATACAAAAGGTAATAATACTATTGTTCCTAATAAATGATATGCAAGCATAAGAAACTTAGGACAAAAAAAAAAAAAAAAAAAAAAAAGGTAAATATTACCTATTCAATTTGAGTTAGAAAATTATAAATTTATAATGTTAAGATTAATTAAATAATAAGTACCTTCTTGATCTCACAGGAGATGGTGATGAATTGCGCCTTCTAGAATGCACCTTTCTGCAATGTACCAAATCAAATTCATTCAAACAAACTCATTTCTAGTTTTTTGTATTCTCAATACAATTTTCATTTTTTTGAGTAATTAATATATTTTATTAAATATGCAATGTAAAACAGAATATATATTTTTTTATATCATTAGAGAGCATTCATCAAGATGATAAAAAATGACACCGATATCAAAATTTTGAAGAAAAACGCCCAAAGAATATTTTTATATTTGTTTCTTTATAACTCTGCAAACTTGTTGATCAAAATAACACCAATATCAAATATAATTTGTGATTAGAGGAGGGGTTTATAATTGTAGAACATTTCAAACAGATGATGACTAATAAGAAAAAGCCTTGCATTGAAGAAGATGTTTATTTCAAGGGGTTAACAATTTTGCCTTAATGTTTTATTGAAGTGAAGTATAAATAAATTTAAGCTCCAAAAATGAAATAAATACCTTCTTGAGTCATCTGAAGAAGTGTCACTTGAAGGAGAATGATGTCTTTTGTGCCTACTTTTACTTGATCTTTCATTCTTTTCATCTTTTGTTCTTTCTCGCTTTCTACCATCTTCTTTCCCATGAGATCTCCTTTCTTTTTCTTTTTTATTCTCACTCTTGCTAAACCTTTGATCCTTTATTTTATCTTTATTACCATTTCTATCATCTTTATTTCCCTTCTTTGTGTTTTTTTCTTTTTCTTTTTCATCCTCATCTACCTTTGCATTTGCGTCCACCTCACCATTGTAGTCTTTACCATCCAACTTTCTTTTATCCGTATTTTTCCCTGTTATCAAAACCAACGGTTTTTCTAAATTGTAAAAAACATTTTTGTTTTAATCACCAAGGGCGTGTTTCCATTATATGTAAGATTGTTTCTTTTTTGGACACCAAATGAGAGTAAATGACTATTTTAACCTTCTATCTAGAAACAAAACAAAAATGACTAAACACCAAAATCGTTCAATCACTAAGGGCTTGTTTCTTTTTTTCCAAGTGTTAAATGGATAAATGATGTGTCTATGAACAAATGATAAATGATGTGTTAAATGGAACAAAATATGTCTCTTTTTTCGACTGAATGAATGTGTAAATGACTATTTTACCCTTCTGTCTGTGTCTCTTACCTTGAGAATCATTTGGTAATAAATTCTTGTCACTAATACCATCAATAAACGGTTCGTGTTTGTCATCTGATACTTTCTCATCACCACCGGAATCATGATTCCGATGTTCTTGAGTGACATCTATCTGAGAAGAACTTTTACCATTTGGGCTCACTCCATGAGAATCACTTTCCTTTTCAAGAAGCTTGCTACCATCTACATGTGAACTGCCATTCTCTGTTGGCTTGCTATTTATGGAAGAAGACGGATTCTGGACTTCTTTCTCTTCATCATCATCATCATCAGAAGCGTAATTACCGAGTCCTAAAACATCTCCAGGTGAACTGGAATTGGAATTCCGACTATCATCGGCATCGGTTCCTTTGGTCTTAGCTGGAATTAGTAGAACCTTTGCAGAAGAAGACTTGGGAGTTGGAATTGCTGGTGGCATATCACTTGAAGCAATCGGTTTATGCTCAACTACATAACCACAAACCTAGATTATGTTACACTGATCTAATAAAGAATATCACAGCTAATGAAAATAAGAAAAATAAATAAATAAATAAACCTTCCACAGAAAGTTCATCTTCCTCAAGAACTTTGGTTGCAATTTCATCAAAGAGTTCATCTGTGACCTGTTCAAAAGCATTGTAGGCAACTAACTTAGTACAAAAAACAAGCAAGATCATAGATCATAGATCATAGATGAATGATTAGTATGTATTTGGGGCACCTTTAAAAGGACTTCAGTCAAGATTCGCTTTATTTCCTGGTTTATTGCAGCTGTTCTAGCTGCTTCCACATAATCCTACACAGAAAAATGAAGACAAATGTCAGTTTTGAGGATGATTAAAGTAAACCAGAAAAGTAACATCACTCTTGCAAACTTTCTATAACATATATGAAAACTATAAAGCAATGTTTTTTTGGATGGAATAACAAAGGAATGGATTTGCAGAATAGAACCTCATCATCATCCTCTTCTTCTGTAGACATGCTTTTTCCATCCACCTGATCTCCTTTCCCAAGAGATCCCTCCATAACTTCATCTTCATTAGACTCGGTATCCTGCCTGGAAATCTCTGTTCCAATTACTGCTTTCTTCTTAATTATTTCCTCTCTAAGCCAATTTGGCACTGAAACCTAAATACTCTTCCAATCTCAGATATACATAGTAGAAAACAACACAACAGCAGAAATGATATTGTATATTATACCTTTTTATTTCTTTCAGGAAATCCAGGGGTCCCGTATGTATCAATAGGGAAGCCACTTGTTACATGAAATGCATTTGATGCCCCAATGGGAAAAGTTGCATTTCCAGATGCCATGGTTGGTTGGAAGCTTGATCTTCCAAATGAAGGTGTGAGGTGCATACCAGTGGATATTGCCCCTGTTGGGTCATGATCATGGCTGAATCTTGGCCCAAAATCTAAAGGTTGATTGCTAAGATCGGTTGTTGGGTCAATAGATGGGTTGCTGAATGAATAATGAGGTTGTTCAATGGAAATTAATCGATCTCTAGGAGATATTGGTGGTGGGATTTGGTGTTGTGGAGCTGAAGCAAAAGGTAGATGTGATGGTTGATAAAATTTCCCGTTTGTTTCTCTTGAATCTTCTTTTCCTGACATTCAAATGAGGAAGTCAATCCACTGAAATGTTGACTGTTGTTAAAAGTTTCATATAGCCATTGATAGAGAGCTTCTAAGAGACTTTCAAAAAGAAAAATATAGAATACAGACTTCCTCTACTTATTTGATTGTTTATTTCTTCCAAACTATGTATCTTTACCAAATATTTCTTTTCTTTTAGCAACACACAGGTTAAAAACAAGATTTTTCAGTTATTCGAGTAAGTTTAGTTCCATATGATAATGTAAAAAGAAAAAGAAAAAAAAATCACAGCTTTGACTGCTCTTCTTCCTTTAGTTTCTTCCAGCAACTGATGATCCTGCAAAACACATCATTTAAAAATCCTAAACAATCTTCAACGATCATCTTCTTCATTCGAAACATAACAAGGTAACTGTAATACTTGGTAGTTAAACCAATCTTCATTGCAGCTAAAGCTGTCTCTTCCAGGTCTCAAGTCACTCACTCAGCTAATTTACATATCATTCTTCAGTCTTAAGTCAGATGTGTGTAAGATTATCAACAATTACTTACAAGTTATGTTGGTCATATAAACCATAAAATAATTTCAAGCAATCATATTTACAAGTTGAGGTGAGAGTAGAAAATGATGTCCACAAAAAATCACTTCAGCAGTTAGAACATAAAAGGGGAGA